ATAAGATACATCATAAACATTGTGAAAAGCAAATTATAACTGAACCATGAAGCCAGCTAAAACAGTATGACTTTGGCACATCTCATTGTAATGCTACAATAACAACAGGCGCAGAAAAAAAACTTGAGAATCAAACAATGGCACAAAAAAGCATTTTTCTCCACTAGTCCATTTTAATTATGATGATCCAAATGGTAAAATAACATTGAGATACAAGCATACCTACGATTATGCCAAGAAGAATAGTTGCTGAAGTTTTCGTTCATCAAATCAGTTGTGAAGTGTAGTTCCTCTTCATCTGATCTGTTCTTTAATGCTGCCATAAATCTGAAAATAAAGACCAAATTAGGCCATTTGAAAATACAGTCCTTCAATATATTAAAGTAAATCAAACCCAAATCTTTACCTCCGGTAATTCCATGCATGGAAATTCCTCGAATCTTTCTTCAGGAACACCCCCAGAAGCTGCAATTCCCGATCTACAGATGAATGTCCCGTGCTTAGCACCCATTTACGATGATACCGGGCACCATAAGACCTATAATTCTTTGCCAATGCACTCTCTGTCTGCATATATATTGAGTTCTTTCATTAAAATCAAAATAAATTGAACCCAAACACAATACACAACATAATTACAATTGGCCACTGAAAAACCCAAAGAAAAGAAAGCAACGCAATATTTCAAAATCTCATTATTTAAAATTTTAAAATTTCAAAACAAACTTTGCACTGAACGCAATTTAACCAAATAGCCCTATTTGGCACAGTTGACTTGTGTTCAGCTGAATTTCTTTTTCTTTTCCTACAGTTTTTCAGCAACCAAACAGCATCAAATACATGAACAGAAAAAGAAATAGATATATTTTTTCATATGAGTGGTTCCAACAAATGTACAACTCTCAGTTCTTCACTGTAAATAGATTTAATGGAGTCTGGATCAATCTCTGTATCAGTCTCAGAATGACTGAGAATCTGTTCAACAGCAAATTTTCTGTAATTCCAAGCTGTGAGATACTCAGGATTGGCCTCGAGAAGCTTCGCATTGATCTGGGGCTTGTTTCGTGTAACTCAATTTGCACATACAAATACAAGATTATTCAAAATTGTGCAAAGGCCCCAAAATTAATGGCAAAATTTTTAATACGCCAAAAAACCTACTTATGTTTTATATATATATATATAAATAAATAAATAAATAAATAAATAAAAGACCATCCAACGAATCAAATATAATCATTTTCTTATATTAACATAATTATTATTATTATTTTTTAAGTACAGAAAAAAGACAAATTCTACTTTCCTATTTTATATGTTGTTTGAATTATCTTATTTAGAAATAAATACATAGTTTCTTGTGGTTTGTAAACTAAAATGCACCGTTTGACATTCCGTCCAAATTAGCAGTAAATGTGAAACACTTCCCTCATAAGAGTATTTAGCGGGATTTATCTTAATTCACTAATAGTGAAAGAAGGAAATAATGCATGCAATCGCATGCCTCACCAATCATATCATTTTTACACAAATGGGGGATATGAGAGTAATCATTTTTTACATGATTACAGTACAATCGATTGTCCTATAAGGACATTAAAGAGGCCTATAAGACCTCAACCGTGGTGCGCCTTTGCATTAAGAGAAAAGCCATCCCACTCATTTTTTAAAGCTTTATGAGAGCAATATTCGCATGGGGCAGGTTCGACCTGTTAGTTGCCGACATTTTGTGCTTAACACATGCCACACTCAAAAGCGACAGCAGCTCCATACTCCATATTTACCTTCCTTGACAGAAATCAAATGCTTTACACATTTTTCTGTCAATGAAGAGATGGAAGAGGTGAGTAGAGCAGAGAGGCAGCCCTCAGGGGGAGGGTAGAGTAATGGTGATGTTACATCATTACTATATAATGTAAACGTCCTATAAGGACATTAAAGAGGCCTATAAAGATAGTTATAGGTTACTAGATAGTGCATTTTAGTCCGCAAACCATAAGGGGTTATATGTTTACTTTCAAATGCTAAGAGGTAAACCACACCTAAAGAACAAGTGAAATTTGACTTAAAAAGTTCATTAATGACCTAATAAATCTAATATTGATGAAGAAAAGAGTGTCGGTTCTGTAGTTTTTTTTTATATATTAAAAAAATTTGTAATTAATTTACAAATTTATGTTTTAGTTAGGTCTCATATAATATATTCAATGGTAAAAATTAAATAGAATGTAACAAAAATGCTGTATTGAACTAATTTGAAAAGTTGGTTTTAATTGAACAAAAGATTAGCTTAGAACCTAATAAAAGAAGAGAATAAAAACCCGGTTAAAAGCCAGCTTCTTGACTTTTTGGTTTTTTTAGGGCACATCCCCCTCTATTTTTTTGCACGTTTTTTCAACCAAAAAAAATAAAAAAATAAAAAAAAAACTAAAAAGCTGACTTTTAACCTGCTTCCCAAAAATTTAAGGATTTTGGCATAATCTATTCACACAATTTATTTATTTATTTAAAAAACTAAATTATTGCTCTAGGCCTCAGTTTCTTGAGCCACATAGTTCAATACAGTACAACACGAATAAATAATTTTAAATAGTGTATAAAATTTGAACAGGTTACTAAACAATTTACACAATTGACAATTTTGATAATACAAATGGAAGATTGTACAAAATGATCAGCGTTGAGATCACAGAGTTCAAAACAACACAATTCGAATAGATAATTTTACACTCGTGTGTCAAATTTGAACAATACACAATTCACAACACAAATTGAAGATTGCTCAAACTTAACAACGTTTAGATCACAAAGTTCAATACAATAAAATACAAAGCGAAGCATACATATAGACGAAGATATATATATATATATATATACGTATAGAGAGAGAGAGAGAAAGAGAGAGGAGTCACATTTTGTTGTGATGAAAATGGAGGAAGTGAGATTGGAGGGGGCGTAGTTTAGCAGCTTTGAGAGCTTTTTCTTCTTCTGGAGTTGGGGCTTTGCGAGGACGACCATGCATTTTTCGTGCTGAGATAGAGAGAGAGCAGTAAAGAGTGCTGGACTGTTAAAAGCTCGCGTTCCAGTCATGAGAGAACAAATGTTAGATTACATACTTTGATCTGTCTTCATAGGTAAGGAAGGAAGAATAGATTACATACTTTGATCTGTCTTCATAGGTAAGGAAAGAAGAATAAATCCAGGTGGGGCAAATTAAAAACTAATAAATTTAGGTTAAATAGCAATTCCTCGGAGAGAAACATTATGTTGCAAATTTTCAAGGGCGTGTTATATATATCTTCTAATTAAAAGGATATACTGTACAAAACAAATTTAATTTTATTTCTCCAAAAGTGTTAGGCACTGAAACACTTTATCCAAAGTGATAAGCTCAAATGAAATGACTAAAATACCATTCCATACATATGTATACACTATGGTCCTAAACTCTCAAATTGTAACGCCCTCAAAATAATACATAAAACCCATCACTTTAGACATGCATTGATATAAAAGAAACCAACCATTTCTATTCATCAAAGTAATTCTTATAACTGTATTACATGTTAACAACAAAAGCAAATGCTCTATGGGCTTACAGCTTTCCAAGTCAACACATGGTTACACAAAAGAAGAGTACTAACTCTATACAAAATAAGCCCTTGGCCTGATATACATGTAATACAAACAAAATAAACAAAAAGAGTCTTCAACTCTCATCATCATCCAAGCTATGTCCTTGGAGGTGGCATACTACCTGTACCTGAAAATAATGTCCCATAAAGGGGGAGCCAACGCCCAGTGGAGATATGCTAAACACAGTATGAGCAATAACTAAGACATTAGCAATTGATAAATGTTCAATTTCCATAAATCAATTCATAACCCATTTCCATTTCATGACCACTATGTTCATGTTTCATTTCAGTTTCCATTTCTTATCAATTTCACAATTTACACCAACGGCTTAGAACCTGGCCAACCACTTATATGAGACAATGATTCATATTAAGCGTTTCCCATTTACAATAGATAAACATATTAGTTGTATTAACATCTCAACAGATAAGCATACAAGTTGTATCCACATTTCAACAGATATACATATTAGCTATATCAACACTTCCAAAGATAAGCATATGAGCTGTATCAACACTTCTATAGATAAGTATATAAGCTATATCAACACATTAACTGACAAGCATATGAGCTGTATCAGTGGAGTCCATCCCCTATCTCCTCCCAAACAACATCCGGTTTAGAGGTCCATCCCCTATCTTCCCCTAAACCGTGGAGTACATCCCCTATCTCCTCCCACACACACAACGTATATACACATAGGTCATATACACAATCAATCAATACATCCAGTGATTAGTTTCAGTTTGCCTAATCATCATGCATTGTCTACAACAATCAAATCTACCCTACACCGGTAGCCCAAGCAATTATTTCTAAACAAATAATAAAAGCTCCAACAGATAAAATATCAATGTTTCCAAAAGTGAGCGATTTATAAATCCAACTCCACCATTTCACAACATAATGAGCCAATTTCATTATTTCCAACTCAATTCCATAAATCCACAATTTTTCCAAATTAATTATACCAATTAATTTATACAACAAATTAGGGTTTTCTACCCCATTTCCCAATATTGACCCAATGGCCTATATATCAACAACCAACAACAAAATCATTATTTTGAAACCCAAAATACATATTTTTTAATCAAAATAACAAAATCCCTTTTCAACATTTTCAAACCCTAACTTCCCAAAGTCAACCATTTAGCAAAATACCCAAATATCTAGGTCAAAGACCATAAGAGTGAGTAGGAACCCCTACCTCAAAAGATGACACCCAACGAAGAAGATGGTGAAAACGAAATTGCTCCAAACCACGAGTTTCTCGGACCAAAAGATAGCCCTCGATGATCAACAACTTTTTTTGTAAGGGCCAAAGGTGAGGAAACCACTCCTACTAGATCAATACCTAGAGAGAAGGTAGAGTTCTAGAGTGAGAAGCTCAACAATGGTGTTTTTGGAAAAGTAAGAGAGAGAAGAGAAGTGGAAAAAGTGATTTAAAACTGCCTCACAGCCAACTAATATATGACGTTCCCGCTCGAGCGGAAAACACAACGCTCGAGCGTCAGGAACAAAAAACTAGGTCCGCTCGAGCACAAAAAGTCCTGCTCGAGCACCAAGACACAAGAATAAAGTACATCCGCTCGAGCGCGAAAACCAGTCTGCTCGAGCGTAGATTTTCATCTCACAAAACTTTCACCAACGAGGTACTACCCTCTCGAGCGCAAGAAACCCGCTCGAGCGTAGAAAACACACCTGCAAAAGTTTTGCAGGGACTCTAAATGCTGGAAGGGTGTAAACCCCGCTCGAGCGCAAAATGACCCGCTCGAGCGGACCACTCAGAAACTGGGCAACAACAATGGGAGCCAAAGCTCTACCAACCTGTGACGACCAAGCCCAACACATCCCAAAACTCAAACTAATGGATTTAAAGGACGACAACAAGATAGATACAACTACCAACTCCACGGAACCGAGTCCGGAATACAACTGAACAGTAAAGGGACAACTGGGATCGTTATAACCTCCCCCCCTTAAAGAATTTTGTCCCCGAAATTAAATACAAGTTTTTAAAAAAACACGTTTTCTCCATTCCCAACAATATTACCTCATAATGATAAACAATCCGACCCGTTACCGGTCGATCCCATCTCTTTTCAAGAGGCATATCACATTATACATAACAACCTGCATTATCAACATGCATTCTTTTGATATTTACCAATTTCAACTCATTTTTCACAATTCCATAATACATGCAACATTAACATCATGCTTGCATTTCCACATTACATTGAACATATGCAATGTTATAATAAATTTTCATTAACCAAAACATTCACCATGTTTTACAACTTAAGACATATATAATGCTCTTAAAGTTCAACGATATTACAAAATTACCAATGCATGGTTACACATCAATAAACAAGTCCGGATATTTCTCGCGAACTTCCAACTCACGTTCCCAAGTGGCTTCCTCCACTCCATGATGTTTCCACAAAACCTTTACCAAGGGAATGGTCTTGCCTCGCAAGACTTGATCCCGCCTATCCAAGACCCGAACCGGTCTCTCCTCATACGAGGTATCCTCATCTACCTCTAAGTCGGTCCAATCTAACACATGGGACGGATCCGGCTCATACTTCCGAAGTATACTCACATAAAACACGTCATGTACCCCGGACAACTGCGGTGGCAAAGCTAAACGATAAGCAACCTCCCCAATCTTCTCAAGGATCTCAAAGGGACCGATAAACCGAGGGGATAACTTCCCACTCTTCCCGAACCTCATCAAACCTCGCCTAGGTGATATTTTCAAGAAGACATGATCACCTACCTCAAACGCCAAAGGCCTCCTCTTACGGTCGGCATAACTCTTTTGGCGACTCTGGGCTGTAACCAGCCTTCTACGGATAAGCTCAACTTTCTCCGTCGTCTCTCTAACCAACTCCGGACCCAACAAAGGTGCATCACCCACCTCGGCCCAACACACTGGGGACCTACACGGTCGGCCATATAAGGCCTCAAACGGTGCCATACCGATGCTAGACTGAAAACTGTTGTTGTAGGCAAACTCCACCAGGGGCAAGTGCCTCTCCCACGTCCCACTAAAGTCAAGGACACAATCTCGAAGCATATCCTCAAGGATCTGAATAGTACGCTCAGACTGCCCGTCAGTTTGAGGATG